TCTTCAGAATGGAAATAATAGTATCTATCCCTTACAGAACTGCTGCCAGGGTCAAATGGGATATGAAAAGTCTATGTAAGATTTCGAGGGCTGCACAATTAATATTATTATGAGAAGACTGATAATTTTCCCACATTACTTGCATAAAATGATAGCTCTATTTTAGCCAGATAAGACTCCAATTAGCCCTGAATTTTAAGCCCACCGAATTCCTGGAATAAAGCATACAGGAGAAGAAGTGTGATCAGTTTGGCTGTCAGGCACAGTTTCCAATGGCCAAATTGCTGTGCAGGTAAGGTCCAACTTGGTTAACTATTCTTTTCACTCCCAGAAAAAAGATGGTAGAAATGAGCCCTTGTGATTGATTTCTGACAAAGAATCTAATGGTCTATCTTCCCTGAAAATCCTCTTTCCTCCCTACTCTCCTAATCTTTCTCTCATGAAGCATAGTTTACACAATTTATACAAATATGTATATATATATATATATATATATATATTATAAAGTAAAACATGAGAAAACTGTCCATCCTCACTAGTAATCACAAATAAGAAACTTAAGATAAATTGTACCATTTTATTCTTAGTACTAAATATTACCAGTGAGTGTCCAATTTTGGTGAGATTAAAACAAAATTGTGGTGTTACAGCATTAGTGACAAATAAATGTGTATAATCTTTTGCAGAAGCAAAATAACAACACATAGCAAGTACTTAGGAGATATTTCTATCTTTTGGCCTTGTAATTACCCCCATTGCAAATCCCCAAGGAAATAATTAAGCAAAACTGAAAAAGTAAAAAAAAAAAAAATGAAAAAGTAAGTATAGATACAATTATCCATAACAAGAAAATATTAAAAAATAAGAGAAATGTTTTAGTTAATCATAGTGGGATTGTAATTTCTAGAATGAAAATATATAAACTACATAGAAACATGGGGGAATGTTTATCATTTATTTATAAGTGAAAGTGTATGATGTGACTGGTAATATGTAAAGATATCTTTGGTATGATAGTGATGATTTATATATCAAATGTTCTTCAATGATTGAACATCTTTTAAATGCAATGATAAAAAGAAAGAAATGCAGTGAGTAAAATTTGCTTAAGATTCTGCTTCTGTTAGGGTGGTACACAGGAAGTTGTCCTTAATAGGATGTTGATGGATGACAGTGAAGTAGCATGTAGCACATTCAATGTAGGCAGACTATAGTAAGCTACGGTGGTTGAAAGCCTCAGATCTGAGTTAAGCCAGTACTTGCTTTATTTGCTTCCTGCTTCACCAAACTGGTGGACTTGCAAAAGCTAAATTTGACAGATCTAAACTTTTTCTGATTTATAAAATGGGACTGATAACAACCAATGTAGTGGATTCCTTGGGAGTAGTTAATGAGATAAAGGAAATGGCATAGTGCTAGGTACGTTAAAAAGTTATTCAATAAAGAGTTGTGGTTTGTGTTGTTACTAATGATGATGATGAGGAGGAAACTGAGGCCTTTTAGAAAAAATACCTTAAAGGTCTAATGCCTCTAAAAGGATGTTATTCAAATGAGTACTGTTGAATTGCATATAGTGGTACATGTCTGTAATTCCAGCTACTCAGACATGAGGTTTGCAGGTTCTAAGGCAGACTGGGCAACTTAGCAAGACTCTGTCTCAAAATAAAATTTAAAAGGGATTGGGATGTAGTTCAGTGGTTGTCTGGCATGAACAAGGGCCCTGGCTTCAATCTCCAGTCTCACACACACACACACACACACACACACACACACACCACTGTCCCTCATGTGGGGCTAACTACAAATTTTGAAAAGGATTTCATTTTTAATATTTATTAATAAATAATAATTTTATGTATATTGGGGATACCATATGATGTTTTATTATATGTATACATTGTATATATTGATTAAATCAGGCAAATGAGCACATTCATCACCTCAAATAGTTACTATTTCTTCATGGTAAGAACATTGAAAATCCTCTTTTAGCTATTTTGAAATACACAGTACTTTATTATTAATTATGCCCATAAGAGTTATTTTTAATACGCATTTAACAGTAGACTCTACTTTTATAGAGCAACTTGAAGTTCACAGCAAGATTGAGTAAAAGGCATAGAGATTTCCCATATACCCTTTACCTCAATAGAGGCATAGCTTCCTCTACTATCAAAATCCCACACTAGAAGGACACATTGTTACACGTGACCTATACTGACACATTGTTATCACCCAAAGTTCATAGTATACAGTAGGGTTCATTTATGGTATTATAACTTTTACATGTGTAATGATGTGCATCTCTCATTAAAGTATCATACAGAGTACTTTCACTGCTCTTAAATCCTCTGTGCATCATGTTTTTATCCTTCCCTCCCCTTTCTCCCTCTCTGTAATCCCTGACAACCACTGCCAACGTTTACTGTATCCATATTTTTGCTTCGTTCAGAAGATTATATAGTTAGAATTATGTAGTATATAGCCTTTTCCAGTTGGCTTTTTTCTTGAAAAGTTTTTTCTTTTTGTTTTTTATAACCAGTATAGAGGGCCAAGTGAATGTTTCAAAATTCCATTAGATATTACAAAGATAATTACTACCATTAATTGAGTTTGAGTATACATGTTATCTCCGCATTATTAGTATTCTTGTTTTACTGACAAGGAGGTACCCAACGTCACAGAGCCAATCAGTGACAGAAGTAGTATTCAAACCCAGTCTGTCTGACTTCAGTGCTCTTGAGTTTCCATTAGGCCACTGTGTTTACCCTAACAACAAACATCAATCCTGGAGCACCTGAGCCAGTCACAGGAACTCTCAGGGTCAAGCACACAGACAGAGGGACATAGCCCACACATGGCATTCTAGTTCTTAGAGGATAGCATCCTAATAGAACAACACCACCGCTGCCTGCATTGATCCAGTTTGTATTTCTTATCCTTAAGCATGAAAGGACTTATATTCCATATCCTTAAGCATAGGTCAACATATGAACCAAGCAACATACTGACCAGAAAAATTAGGTGAATCTAGTCTCATGTTTCTTAACCCTTTTTGCATAATTTATCCATCCAGGATCCTCTTTAAACATATTCTTCTGAATAATCCCTCACCCCAGTTAAATTTTAATATCACAGACAGATTCTATGCTTGTTTATATACTGTCACCTTACAGAAGGCCTAAAGCTATTGTAATATCTACCAATGCTTTCTCCCCTCCAAAAAATTCCTTTCACACTCTTGAGAGGCTCCTTCATCTCCACTGAGAATACATCATCTAACTTCAGATGGCTAGAGCTCAAGTAGGCTGACAGAGAGCTGGAAGTCAGGAGGTGAAGGCCAGGACCCGGGAAAGAACTAAAGTGGCCCTACTGAGACCCTGTTCAAAGCTGCATATTGCTGGAAGAGTTGTTGAAAAAAGGAAGAGGCAGAAAAAGGATGGGAGCCAGAAAACTAGCTGGGGATTATTTTATTAATTATTATAGACACAATTAGAATATAGTCTCCAAATTCTGTTTCATGAAATTTTGTCATTGCTTTTGCAGTACAGGGGATTGAATCAAGGGTGTTTGCCCTGAGTTCTACCCCTCAGCTCTTCTTTATTTTCAATTTTGAGACAGGGTCTTTCTAAGTTGTTAAATTGCCCAGGCTGAGCTTGAACTTCTGATCCTTATGCGTCAGCCTCCCAGGGGGCTGGGACTATAAGTGTGCACTACCACATCTAGCTGTGTTTCATAATATTCTTGTGAGACTCGTACTTTGTGAGTGCAGACTTCAATTCTTAAGGTCAAAACAGTTAAGCAGGTGCTGTAATGATTTCAAGGTTTATTAAGACTACAGCTCCAGAGGAATTTTGGTTTTCAGAGGTTTAAGGGTATCTGATTATGTAATTTCACTATTTTCAGTCTCCATCAGGGTTTGGGTTCTTGACACTGCCGAATAATATTACAATGTCAGTTGTGATTAGAAGATAATAGGCCTTACTATATTCCAGAAAGACATTGCACGAAATGCTTAACACAGTAATGGTGGACTATTTTATTTAAACTCCAAAACGGTGTAATTCTGGACGGGGAAATACCTCCTAACCCTATTCTTAAGCTGATGGGAATTAGAGACATCTCAATTACAGGTAGAGAAAGGCTCTGCCTATGGGTTTTGGTGGCTGCCATGAGAATGGAAGATGCAGAGAAACCCTCCTTCCTATCAGGTGGTTAGAAAGAGCAATCAAAAATATGAACAAATGTGCTGAAAAGGATGGGATGGACCCCATGAAGTGTACCCTGATTGGGCCATTGATCTCACAAATATGGTCTTAACACTATGCTGCCTGTAGGAAAGAATGGCCTATGTGATTCAACTTATTATTACCTATGGTTCTTTCACTCTATCTTCCCATAGTCTACCCTTTAATCTTTCCACCTGCTTCTGTGACCTTCGTGACCAAACCTTCCCAACTCTATTGAATAGCTAGAGCCTAGCAGAAGATTCCCCAGCTGCCTATGCATCTGTGTGTGTGTTGCAGGGCTCTCTCATGGGACTGCTGTCACCACTGTATCCTAGCCTTCTTCATAGGGATCTGAGCTCAGTTGTTTTCTTCCTGTCTTTAAAGAAACATGGATAATATGTAAGCAATAAATAACCATGCAAAACCCCCAGGCATAGAGGGGTGATTTCTCTTTATAGAGGGGCAAAAAGTCTATCTTCCAACAGAAAGCAGTGGTTGCTGAGTCAGTGTCAGGAGTTTGAACCTAAAAACTTGTAAGTTTGGACAAAATAACTTACATTAAAAACTTTTCTAACAGTTTACCTTCTTCCACTATGACAAATTCTTTTTCGAGGAAATATCTTAAGCAGAGAAGTTAAATATAGATATATGAAGTTCCCAGGATGCAGTCTGCCCACACAAATGGATGCTGCCCCACAGGTGTTGCCTGCAGATGTGTGTGTATAGATACTTTACACATACATGTTGTCTACAAAGTCAGAGGCTACTCACACAGACAGATGTCCACTAGAAACACGATGTATACCAGAAGCTCTCGGAGGGTAGTCTTGACATAAAGTTCTCTGTTCTCAGCTGTGTTCTCAGTCAAGGTTGTTCCCCAAAGTCCTAAGGACATTGGAGAGATGTGCAGGGTTCCCAACAGCAGCATTTTTCCCAGATTGTTGTCCCACCCTAGGCTTCACCCTATTTCCAGTACAGCCCCTTACCCATTCCCTGGCAGAATCTGGTGATACTACCCACACCCATTGCTATCCTCCTCCAAACTTTCTGAGGTAGACAGGGTGATGGCACTGGATCACAGAGAACCGAGTCATAAAAGAGAGATACCTGTACCATGTGGGAGCGTCTAGGGTCTCATCACCTCATGTTCTGCCTCAACCTAGCTCTCACATACCCCACAATGCACCAAAGTAATGAGTGTGCCAGGTGCTCTGTCTAGCAGACCATGAGACTGGCCTCTGTGTTTTGAGCAAGCAGCTCTAACAGGTAAGTCACAGACACAATGGGATTCACCTTTCCCCACAAAAACCTTGTGGCCCTTTATTCTCAGTCCAGTACCTCAGGAGAGATCTCCCCCAACCAGTACCTCTGATACTGCGACAGAAATGGAGGCAGCAGCTGGATACCAGGGTCCTGTGTGTCTTCTCCTGGGGTCCATCTTCAGGCTTCCTGGGCTGGGGCTGAGGGGGTGCCGCACTAGAGATTGTGTAAATCCTCAGTGTCTCTTGTGGAGAAGGGGGGCCACTGTAGGAAGGGTTGTCCCAGGCTCCACTTCCCAGTTTTTGCAGCTCCTGCCCCTCAGGATTTTCTATCACATCCATGGAGAAGGAGGGATGGAGCTGGCCCCACAGGTGCTCACTCTCACCTAGAGAAACAGGGGACAAAGGCATAGGTAGTTGAGCCAGCAGAGAGGGCCAAAGGAGTCTGAGAGCAGATGCTTTCACTGGCCTCTGCCTCTTGCCTTAGTGGGAGAGCTGTGCTCTCCCATAGGAGGGAGGAGACGGGGACAGGGTAAAATGGCCATTAATCTTATCAGTCTTAGTCTCTCTCTCTCTTTCTCTCTCTCAGCAGACAACAGGGTAGGATGGCCACCAATCCTATTGGTCTTATTCTCTCTCTCCCTCCCTCCCTCCCTTCCAGAGAACAAGAAGATAAAAAAGAGTTGTGAGGGAACTAGTAGTCAGGAGTTTGAAGAGGAGGGGGAGAGGGCAGGGTGAGAATGATGTGCAGCTGGAGTGGAGGGAAGGATGGGTGACAGAGGCGACTGCTGTGTGTTCAGATGGTGCCTGAGGAAAAATGTCCAGAGGCTATGGAAGAGATTATAAAAGGACACTGTGGGGAGGAGAGAAGACAGAGGCTGTGGAAGTCCTTTGTGGGGCTTTCCACCAAAAGCTCCTGAAAGAGCCAACATGGAATTTGGTCTGAGGCCAGGGATGGGAGACTGAGAAGAGCTGTATCCCCACCAGGCTCAGCTGGTGCCCTGGGCTTTTTCAGTCTCTCCTCTAACTATTCCCTACTGAGTAGAGAAGGCAACTCTCCTCCCTCATCCTGCCCCCATAGCTAGAAAAAAGGATAATGATGGAAAGAGCTCCTGTCTCAAATCTTAAGGGACAAAGTTTCTGATCCCTGATGGGGATGGAAAAGAGACTGTAGAGTTTGAGGTGGTTGGAACATTTTCTGAGAGTTTCCCTCATGGTTTACAGATGAGGCATACACATAGTAGAGTGCGCCATAAAGCTATGGGGCTTAGGTTAGGCAAAGGCTATGTTGTGATGGGGAGGATGGGCCAGAGAGCAAAGGGCATGGACAATATGACTTGGGACTTGGGAGTGACCCCGTTGACCTACCCATAATTTCCTAGGTCTCTGTTTAGCACTGGATCTAGAACTATAAGCTTGAGCACAAGCTCAAGGATAACAGGATTGTCTGCTTTCTTTCCACCTCAGACTCTGAGCACTTGGGCCCCTAAGCACATCCTTGCCTGTGCCCAGCTCTGGCCTCTCATCACCTATCCTGACTGATCTTACAGGCAAGTGCTGTGCCCCCAGAATGATACTGGCCCCACATGTGCTGCTGATCACCCTGCAGCTCCTCATCCTAGATAGCTACAAGGAACTATCCTCTTCCACTTCCTGGCTGCCCACCCACAGCTACTTTGTAGTTGTACCAGACTGAAGATCACCTTCAAGTTCAGCAACTATCAACCTGGTGGAGGTCTCCAGTCTTGAGTGTGCCTATCAAGAGATCTTGTTCCTAGACAATCCAAGGCAAGACTGAGCCTCTTGAGCAATCAGTGTACTCCATCTTCTAAAACAGGGTTGAAAATATGAGTGGCATATCTTTAAGTCTGCCACGTGAATCTCCTGCCCCAGGCCTACATTAGAAAACTGAACTTTCTGTCTGCCTAGAACCTTCAGGGATCCTTCAGAGGTGAGCAAGTATCCATCTCTCCATTGTACCAGCCAGGGAGATGCACTCCAAGGTTCCTATTTTCTTAGGGAAAAAAGATGAGGAGCTGGGCCAGTATCAACCATTTGTGTTCTATCAGCTGAGTGGGCAGGAAAGGCATGCTAGTACCTCTCACCCATGAGTCTTTTGAACCATTGTCTTAGGCCTCTGGAGAAGGATGAGGAACATGAAGCCCCAAGAAGCAGGGAGAGAAATGAGATGGTTTCTGTTTCCCTTGGTGTAGTTTTCAGTTCTGGAGGAGGCCTATGATCAATTGAGCTTTGAATGGGCTTCAGGAAGTTCATCAAATGACAAATTTCCCCATGCTGAGCATTCAAGGCCAGTCCAAGCTGTTCACCTGTCCTGAACTTCCTGCTCTGTGTTGAACATTCCCCTAGTGTTTAGCCCATATGGCCCCAGGAGACAGGTTATGCAACATAGCTTGAGAGATTTTCTCAGGAGGTTCTTGGCATTGCTGTAGTGCTTAAATTTCCTCTAGAAGTTGCAAATGTGGTAATCAAGTGGAATCTCCTGATGATTTCATGTCCAGTACTTCTCCATGTCCTTAAGACCCTACAGAGTATTGATTTTATTTGTTAAAAAAGGACAACCAGTGCTGGGCAGGGTTGGATCTGAGGCACAGGCTGCCTTTGGACTACTTTAGCAAAACCTCAGAGTCTTAATTTTGAATTTGAATTAAATTTCTGTGCTTAGCAGTTGGTTCAGCAACTTACTAGTGATATGTGTTTCTAGACAAGTTACTTTTGAGATGAGTTTACCTATTTGCAAACTGTTGATAACAAACTCTGTCCTGATAATCTGAAGGATTATTTTTTTTGCTTGTTTGTTTATTTGGTTTTTTTTGAGATAGTATCTCAAAAAAGGACACTCACTGTGAAGTCCAGGCTGGCTTTGAATTCACTACGTAGCCCAGGCTGGCCTCAAACTCAGAGTGATCCCCCTGCCTCAACCTCCAAAGTGCTGGGATTACAAGCATGTGCCACCATTCCTGGTTGAAGGACTGTTTTAGGATTGAAATACTAGAATGTAGAAGACTTTATAAACTGTTATCTGAAGAACAAAGTAAATTAACTAAATCTCCCATAGTATCTATTTTTTTATATGTATTCCTCTCAACCAGCTGTTCATGGTAAGGTGGATACCTTCAGGCGGGACACTGCTGACGTTGTCTCGGATGGACATAGGTATAGAACTGTTCTTGCCTACACTATACCAATCCCAGCAGCTGGTACCAGCAGAATGGAATGATGCTTTTTGAGCTAGAGAAAAGTTGAAAGAACTCTATGAATGAGAGAGATCCTGTAGGAGTTTATAATCACACCACAGACTTTGAAGCTCACCAAAACCAAAAGCACCCACTTCTTCCAGAAAGCCAAGAAAATAACACTTTTTTTCCAGTTTCATCAGGGACCTCACAGGGGCTGGAGATGATCCACCTTCTCATCAAAATTTATTCTTTATCCTTTTTCTTCCTTCTTATCATCTCCTTTATTTGACAAGTCCTGCTAGAATACATTTTGCACCTTCTATATCTCCGACAGAATCCTTTCCAAATGAGATTTTCAGCTTTGTTTGCATTTCTAGAGGGTTTTTCTAGATATGCATGTCCATTTGTTCATACCTTCTGTGGAAGATTTGATAATGGAGGGAACAAAGAAAATTCAGGTTGAGATAGATGATGCCATCAACAATAAAATTAAAGCAGCAAATATTCACCCATAGTGACTTATTTTGTGGCCACAATCATGTCCTCCTGTTGAGTATGGTCCAGACATCATGTACTCATATGCTTTAAGCAATCTATCAGCGTTACCACTTCTGGGAAGTGTTCCAGCTGCACCAGGAAGGACCTGTAGTTTATGGTGTACAAAGTGGAGTGGGGGCGGAGAGCTCTTAACCTAAGTGTGAGGATGCAGGCTAGAAAAAGGGAGACTTTCTGCAGGGTGTGGGGAGATCACGAAAGACATGAGAAAGAAAGGAAATGCAGGCCAGCACCTTGGGGAAGAGTTCCCTAGAAGAAGGTGCTTCTTCCTACTCTCAGAGCCACTCACCAAAAACCACCTAAGGCCTTGCTGGATGAGTGTTCAAGGCCTGCAGAAAGGAGAGGTGAAGCACTAGGACAGACCCTTTACTGGAATACACTTTCTTAGCACAATTTCAGGGCTTAAGGGAAGTCACCTAAGGTACCACCTTATTCTAGCCCCTGAGGAGTCCATGAAAGGGGACACATTCTCCTGTGCAGAGTTCTCACTCCAGTCTAAATTCATTGCACAAGTATGTACTGGGTATCATTTATATAGTTGGTCCAATGCTTAGTTCTAGGGACGAAGCAGCAAACAAGACCATTATGGCCCTGCCTCATTGAACTTACACTGTGATGAAGAAGGCAGGTACCACAGATGTGTGAATAATTCATGATGTATAATCACACAGAGTACTGCAAGGGAAAGGTACAGGGAGCTGTGAGGATGCACAGCAGAAAATCTACTCTCTGTGGCTATGGTGAAACATGATGATTTTTTTTCTTTCCTGCCTTCTTATGCCTGTAGCAAACAAGGTTTTCTGAGATTCAAAACCATTTTACTGCTAATAAGCACAGAACAGACCAAGTTATATGACCAAAGAGATCAAGTAAGCAAGGCTGAGCTGCATCAACTGGGAGCCTTTGTGGCCACTGGCATGTGAGCTGAGCTGAGCTAAGCCTACACCCTGCAGGTGATCCTTTGCTGAAGACATGGATCAAATCACTTTTCCATTCCTGAACTGGGTCATCTGCTGAGAACCAGGAAAAGAAACAGACATTCACGAAAGAGCCAAATTAGCTGGGAAGACTACCCAGCAATTAAATGATTCCTGAATAGAAATTCAGAGGCAAGATTTTTAATCTTTCATTCCTTGACCTTAGGAATCTATCTTGGTATTTCCATTAGCATCACTGATGAAATTTTTTTCAAAGTTTAAAATGAAAAGCTAAATATTCAACATTAGATGAAAAGTTTAACTAAATTTTGACACATTAATATGATGGGTTGGTGTGCAGAAATCCATAATAGTTTTAAATTATACTTAATATTGTGAGGAAATGCTCATCATGTATTATATGGAAAATATTAGCATATACACCTACAATATAACAGAATCCAATTTTTGTGGATATTATTCTTACATAAATGCATAAAGTAACAAAAATTAAACATTTATCTTACTGTACTCTGGAAGACAGCTAGAACCTCCTTCTGGGCATGCTGGCCACTGCAGAAAGTCAGTGAGGGTGTCTCTCTTTGATCACAAAGGCAGAGCTAGAATAAGCTCTTCTTTGCTTCTCATTTTGGCCAGAAGCTGAGTCAGGGCAAGACTTTCCTTTCAGCTGATCAGTTTGTCTTTGGAGGCCCTGGGCCTATATCTGCCTGTCTTGTCCTTGTGCATCCTAGATGGAAGGCTCAGGTGTGGCTGGCTCTCAAGGCTGGGGAAAGATTCCCTGCAGGACTCCAGAGGAAAAGAGGAGTGGTTGAGTCAGAAAGAGCCATC